AAAAAAAAAAAAAAAAAAAAAAAAAAAAAAAAAAAAAAAAGAGCAAATATAAAGCAAAATAAGGAGAAGGCTGAAATAATAAGTAAGAAAGTGGATATAAATGAAATAGAAAGCAGAAAATCAATAAAACCAAAAGCCAGTTTTCAGAGAAGATGCTTTTTAAATGATAAACCTCTAGCCAGATAGATAAAAGAAAAAAAATAGTAGAAAATATGCATTGCCAATATTACTATCAGGAATGGGAGAAGTGACATCACTACAGATTGTCTACAAATGTTATAAACATCATTATGCCAGTAAATTCTGGAATTTAGATGAAAGAAATTCTTTGAAAAACAAAAACTACCAAAGCTCACTCCGTTTAAAAAAAAAAAAAAAAACATATATAGATAACTTGGATAGGCCTTGGTCTGTGACAAGAACTGAATTTGTGGTCAAAAACCTTATCACAAGCAATGCCAGGGCCAGATGGCACCACTGGTGGAGTTAAACCAAACATTAAAGGAAGAAATAACATCTATTGTACAGAAACCCTTTCAAAATATTGATGAGGAGGCTATGCTTCCCAATTCATTTCATAAGGCCAGTGTCATTTCAACACCAAACCCACACAAAAACATTATAAGGAAACTACAGCTCAATCTCTCTCATGAACACAGATACAAAAAATTACCAGTACATCTTCAACAAATTGAATGCAGTAACATATTTTTAAAAGATAGTAAATTATGACAATGTCACACTAATCCCAGGAATGCAAGGTTGGCTTAACATTCACAAATGTGTAATTCACCATTTTAAAATACAGTGGTAGGCAGTCTCTAAGATGGCTCTCAATAACGCCCACTTCTAAGTATTCACACTTTTATGTAATACCCAGCTCTTGAGTGTGGGCTGCATTTGTTGACTTGTATCCAATAAAGGCGATATGGCAAAAATCGTAGGATACTGCTTCTGAGAAAATATTATAAGAAAATGTTTCTTCTGTTTTGGTGCTCTCTGCCTTAGGTTTCTTCTCTTAGATCACTAGACCTGGGGAAAGTCAGCTGCCATGCCATGAGGCAACCCTATGGAGAGGCACGTGTGCAGAAGGACTAGGGCATACAAATAACCTTGTGAGTCAAGTTTTCAGGAGCAACCACAGCTCCAGCTTTGTGCTTGACTGGAATCTCATAAGAGACCCTGAGCCAGCTAAGGAGCATCTGCAGGAGACCCATAGGGACTAAGATTTTTTAAATGTTTGTTGTTTTAAAATGTTAAGTTATGGGATAATTTGTTATGAAACAATAGATAACTAGCACACAGTTTTTTACAAATCATACGATCATCTCAATAGACCCAGAAAAAGCATTTGATAAATTCAGCATCCTTTCATGATAAAAACTCTCAACCAACTAAAAACAGAGTAAAACTTCCTCAACCTGATAGAGAGCATCTACCAAAAAATTACAGGTAACATCATACTTAAGGGTGAGAAACTAAATGCTTTTCACCTAAAAACAGGAACAAGCCAAGGATATACATTTTGACAACTTTGATTTAACATTGTATTTTAAGTTCTAGAAAATACAATAAACCAAGAAAAATAAATAAAGCCATTCACATTAAAAAGAAAGAAATAAAATACTCTTCACAGAAGACATGATAATCTATGAAGAAAGTCTGGTCAAATCTATTTTTTAAGCTACTAGAACTAGTGACTTTTTATCAAGTGTGCAAAATACAAGATCAATATTTAAAAATCACTTGTATTTCTAGATACAACAAACAATCAGAAATTGGAATTTTAAAAACTACATTCATAACAGCATCAAGCAATATAAAATATTAAGTGATAAATATGACAAAAGATGTAAAAGATCTTTACATAGAAACTATAAAACATGGCTGAGAGATACAAAAACTAAAAGGAAAACAACAAAAGAGAGGCACTAACTCCAGTGTCTTAAAATTTACTGTGACACTTTCAGGAAAAAGTTAATCTTTGTTTCAGCCATAAAATATTAGTAAGTTCTTAATTAAAAGGAAATTTATACATACATATTTAAATCAAGTAAAGTGATAAATGCATATAAAACGATAATAATAAAGACTTAATTGATACATGGGTAATGGGGAAATAATGACATGTTTGTACTCTCACTCTGCTCTTGAAAGTCAGAACAAGGAAACAAACCCCACAAAAACACCTCTTGGTTCTGCCAAGAAGAATATGGAGCTAATTTTGACACTATTTTGCATTTTTTACTTAAGGTCTTTGAACCATATTAGGAAATTCAAGTATATCAGAGAGAAAACAATTACTTCTAACAAAATATATGGGGGGAAACTCACAGTGTGGTATAGCTTTGTAGTATATACCAGCATAGCCACAGAAGAGAAAAAAATCAGCAAAAGTCAGATGACAGACTGGGTATGGTGGCTTATGCGTAATCTCAGCACTTTGGAAGCTGAAGTGGGAGGATCACTTGAGCCCAGGAGTTTGAGACTGGCCTAGGCAACATGATAAAACCCCATCTCTACAAAAAATACAAAAATTAGCTTGATGTGGTTGCACGTGCTTGTAGTCACAGCTACTCAGGAGGCTGAGGCAGGAG